GCGGGCTCGTGTCAGGGGATGTGGATACCTTTCTCAGATCCCACAGCACCCAGTAAACATTTCATTCCTTCCTAACATCTGTGTTTTTTAGCTTCCATCTGTGCCTCCTCGCACTTGTCAGATTCTTTGGGTATCTTGTAATCATGTCTCCCCTGGTCTTTCTTTTAAGTGTGTGTGTGTGTGTTGTGTGTGTGTGTGTGTGTGTGTGTGTGTGAGTGATGCCTGAGCATCTTAAGGGTTACATCTTAAGGGTTACATCTTAAGGGTTACAGCGCCGTCAAATATTTATTTTTATTATCACACTGGCCGATTCCCACCAAGGCAGGGTGGCCCGAAAAAGAAAAACTTTCATCATCATTCACTCCATCACTGTCTTGCCAGAAGGGTGCTTTACACTACAGTTTTTAAACTGCAACATTAACACCCCTCCTTCAGAGTGCAGGCACTGTACTTCCCATCTCCAGGACTCAAGTCCGGCCTGCCGGTTTCCCTGAACCCCTTCATAAATGTTACTTTGCTCACACTCCAAAAGCACGTCAAGTATTAAAAGCCATTTGTCTCCATTCACTCCTATCAAACACGCTCACACATGCCTGCTGGAAGTCCAAGCCCCTCGCACACAAAACCTCCTTTACCCCCTCCCTCCAACCTTTCCTAGGCCGACCCCTACCCCGCCTTCCTTCCACTACAGACTGATACACTCTTGAAGTTACTCTGTTTCGCTCCATTCTCTCTACATGTCCGAACCACCTCAACAACCCTTCCTCAGCCCTGGGCAACAGTTTTGGTAATCCCGCACCTCCTCCTAACTTCCAAACTACGAATTCTCTGCATTATATTCACACCACACATTGCCCTCAGACATGACATCTCCACTGCCTCCAGCCTTCTCCTCGCTGCAACATTCATCACCCATGCTTCACACCCATATAAGAGCGTTGGTAAAACTATACTCTCATACATTCCCCTCTTTGCCTCCAAGGACAAAGTTCTTTGTCTCCACAGACTCCTAAGTGCACCACTCACCCTTTTCCCCTCATCAATTCTATGATTCACCTCATCTTTCATAGACCCATCCGCTGACACGTCCACTCCCAAATATCTGAATACATTCACCTCCTCCATACGCTCTCCCTCCAATCTGATATCCAATCTTTCATCACCTAATATTTTTGTTATCCTCATAACCTTACTCTTTCCTGTATTCACTTTTAATTTTCTTCTTTTGCACACCCTTCCAAATTCATCCACCAATCTCTGCAACTTCTCTTCAGAATCTCCCAAGAGCACAGTATCATCAGCAAAGAGCAACTGTGACAACTCCCACTTTGTGTGTGATTATCTTTTAACTCCACGCCTCTTGCCAAGACCCTCACATTTACTTCTCTTACAACCCCATCTATAAATATATTAAACAACCACGGTGACATCACACATCCTTGTCTAAGGCCTACTTTTAAGATAAGATAAGATTTCGTTCGGATTTTTAACCCCGGAGGGTTAGCCACCCAGGATAACCCAAGGAAGTCAGTGCGTCATCGAGGACTGTCTAACTTATTTCCATTAGGGTCCTTAATCTTGTCCCCCAAGATGCGACCCACACCAGTCGACTAACACCCAGGTACCTATTTGCTGCTAGGTGAACAGGACAACAGGTGTAAGGAAACGTGTCGAAATGTTTCCACCCGCCGGGAATCGAACCCGGGCCCTCCGTGTGTGAAGCGGGAGCTTTAGCCACCGGGCCACTGGGAAATAATTTCCCTCTTTCCTACATTAACTTGAGCCTCACTATCCTCGTAAAAACTCTTCACTGCTTTCAGTAACCTACCTCCTACACCATACACCTGCAACATCTGCCACATTGCCCCCCTATCCACCCTGTCATACGCCTTTTCCAAATCCATGAATGCCACAAAGACCTATTTAGCCTTATCTAAATACTGTTCATTTATATGTTTCACTGTAAACACCTGGTCCACACACCCTCTACCTTTCCTAAAGCCTCCTTGTTCATCTTCTATCTATTCTCCATCTTACTCTTAATTCTTTCAATAATAACTCTACCATACACTTTACCAGGTATACTCAGCAGACTTATCCCCCTATAATTTTTTCACTATCTTTTATCCCCTTTGCCTTTATACAAAGGAACTATGCATGCTCTCTGCCAATCCCTCGGTACCTTACCCTCTTCCATACATTTATTAAATAATTGCACCAACCACTCCAAAACTATATCCCCACCTGCTTTTAACATTTCTATCTTTATCCCATCAATCCCGGCTGCCTTACCCCCTTTCATTTTACCTACTGCCTCACGAACTTCCCCCACACTCACAACTGGCTCTTCCTCACTCCTACAAGATGCTATTCCTCCTTGCCCTATACACGAAATCACAGCTTCTCTATCTTCATCAACATTTAACAATTCCTCAAAAATTCCCTCCATCTTCCAATACCTCTAACTCTCCATTTAATAACTCCCCTCTCCTATTTTTAACTGACAAATCCATTTGTTCTCTAGGCTTCCTTAACTTGTTAATCTCACTCCAAAACTTTTTCTTATTTTCAACAAAATTTGTTGATAACATCTCACCCACTCTCTCATTTGCTCTCTTTTTACATTGCTTCATCACTCTCTTAACCTCTTTTTCTCCATATACTCTTCCCTCCTTGCATCACTTCTACTCTGTAAAAACTTCTCATATGCTAACTTTTTCTCCCTTACTACTCTCTTTATATCATCATTCCACCAATCGCTCCTCTTCCCTCCCGCACCCACTTTCCTGTAACCACAAACTTCTGCTGAACACTCCAACACTACATTTTTAAACCTACCCCATACCTCTTCGACCCCATTGCCTATGCTCTCATTAGCCCATCTATCCTCCAATAGCTGTTTATATCTTACCCTAACTGCCTCCTCTTTTAGTTTATAAACCTTCACCTCTCTCTTCCCTGATGCTTCTGTTCTTGTATCCCATCTACCTTTTACTCTCAGTGTAGCTACAACTAAAAAGTGGTCTGATATATCTGTGGCCCCTCTATAAACATGTACATCCTGAAGTCTACTCAACAGTCTTTTATCTACCAATACATAATCCAACAAACTACTGTCATTTCGCCCTACATCATATCTTGTATACTTATTTATCCTCTTTTTCCTTAAAATATGTATTACCTATAACTAAACTCCTTTCTATACAAAGTTCAATCAAAGGGCTCCCATTATCATTTACACCTGGCACCCCAAACTTACCTACCACACCCTCTCTAAAAGTTTCTCCTACTTTGCATTCAGGTCCCCTACCACAATTACTCTCTCACTTGGTTCAAAGGCTCCTATACATTCACTTAACATCTCCCAAAATCTCTCTCTCTCCTCTGCATTCCTCTCTTCTCCAGGTGCATACACGCTTATTATGACCCACTTCTCGCATCCAACCTTTACTTTAATCCACATAATTCTTGAATTTACACATTCATATTCTCTTTTCTCCTTCCATAACTGATCCTTCAATATTACTGCTACCCCTTCCTTTGCTCTAACTCTCAGATACTCCAGATTTAATCCCATTTATTTACCCCCACCGAAACTCCCCTACCCCCTTCAGTTTTGTTTCGCTTAGGGCCAGGACATCCAACTTCTTTTCATTCATAACATCAGCAATCATCTGTTTCTTGTCATCCGCACTACATCCACGCACATTCAAGCATCCCAGTTTTATAAAGTTTTTCTTCTCTTTTTTAGTAAATGTCTACAGGAGAAGGTGTTACTAGCCCATCGCTTCCGGCATTTTAGTCGCCTCATACGACACGCATGGCTTACGGAGGAAAGATTCTTTTCCACTTCCCCATGGACAAGAGAAGAAATAAAGAAGAACAAGAGCTATTTAGAAAAAGGAGAAAAACCTAGATGTATGTATATATATATGCATGTGCGTGTCTGTGAAGTGTGACCAAAGTGTAAGTAGGAGTAGCAAGATATCCCTGTTATCTAGCGTGTTTGAGACAGAATATCTACAGATATTCGACGGCGCTGAAAATTCAGCGCTAGACTCTCAAGTAGAGTTCCTTGATTATGATGATGTTACACCAGTTATATTTTGCTCGACTGTTGACATGTTAGTCAGGTATTGTGCCTGAGGCCAAAACGGAAACAATAGTTTCTATAATTACTGCTGGGTGTTTTTTGTATTTTTACTGTTTGCATTGTTCAAGGATATTCTTATTACTTGGTGTTATAACATCAGCACTTCATGCGTACTCATTGTTCATTTATTGCCCCCCCCCCCTCTCCCGAAATATTGGACTATTGCCTCTGTTTTGAATATAACATTTTGGTTTCCTTGTTCATTGTCCATCCTTCAGTCACTGGTTTTGTTTCAAGATATTTTAAATTGTTCACATTAACACTAATACTCGATGACTTATACCTAAAGTAACTTTGCATTTTTTGCTTTGCCAAAATGGCGCCCCTGGCAACTGACCTTTCCTTCACCTCTGTGTCCTATCCAACTGCGCCACCTTCTGAAGGTCACTCTTGGCTGAGAAGTAGATACGATGGAGAAACTAGCGTGTTTAGAGTTAGTGGCTCACTGACTGCATCCCACTAAGGAGGAAGTAGCGTGTTAGTGAGTGGCTCCCGGACCCGGCCTGCCCTACAAATAGCTCCCTGATGTGATGATACGGTGTGCCTTGGCAGTGGAAGCTCCTTAAACATAAAGAAGTTTGCTGAGAGAGAGAGAGGGTGCATCTCACGGTAAATCTGACACACCCTTCACGGGACGGCCCTTGACTTGCTGAAGGGCTGTTGATATGAAGGATCGGAGATGATTTACTTATTTCTTTTTCTCGGATAAATTCTGAATGTCTCCTCGCCTACCCTGGAGCATTATTACATTGTGTAATAAATAAATACAATGCCTATATATTATCATATGTATTTATGTCAAATAACTGGTTTCGAAGGGTTAAAATTCTTGAACGTCTGCCCTCAGACAAACGATCTGGTCAACAGTTCCCTTGTTCCATGATCTGCTCATAATACTACCTGGACTCTACCTGGAGGATGCCCCGGGGGTCAATGCCGACGCGGCAGAATCCTTGATCAGGCCTCCCTGTGGATCAGGGCCTGATCAACCAGGCTGTTACTACTGGCCGCACGTAGTCCAGCGTACAAACCACAGCCCGGCTGATCGGGTACTGACTAGGTATCTGTTCAGCTCCCTCTGGAAGGCAGCCAGGGGTCTATTGGTAATTCCCTTAAGCCTGGTAGTAGGCTATTGAACAGCCTTGGGCCCCGGACACTTATTGTGTTTTCTCCTAGTGTACTCGTGGCACCCCTACTTTTCATAGGGAGTACGTTACCCAGCCTGTTGCTTTCGTAGTGAATAAAGATTTGTGAATGTAACGGGAATATTTATATTTCCGGGTGCACTCTTGATCCGTACTTCCACAAATCAAACCAGATTACCCTCCGTGGTTGGTCACACTACTAACGTTGGGTCACAGTAGCGCCATGTTAGCCTGGGAAGGGGTGCAGGTGACCTACAAACCATCGACTCTCGTGAATATTAATCAGCTAACAGAGATTAAATAAAAAAATTGATTTGAATTGAATTAAAAATTTATAGAGTCCGGTAAATATTTTGATCTTAATGGGATATTTTTTGCGTATATCCTGATGTGTTATTATTTTCGGGTTAATTGGAGTAAATATTTATTTCCCCATCCCCATGATTATTCCATATATATAATTGAGAAATCTCTAGTGATAATTATTCTAGATTGTTGTAGCTGCAACACACATACCTTGTATACCAGACGTATTAACTGTACTATACGTATTTTGTATATCTAGGGATTTTGTATATGATCAAGATATTCTACGTATACCAAAACGGTATATGTGGAATATCTTGTGTATACATCAGGTATTTTGTGTATACTATAAGTATTTTGTCACATTCTGGTTATTAATGAACTTTTATTAATGTTGCTGTTTCTCATACTGTGTTAGTCTTGTTAATAACGTTGTGTTTATGCACTGTCTGGCACTGCTATTGCAGTGTTGCAAAGTAAACAACAGATGCATTATTATTATTTTTATTATTCCGTATTTTCGGGCATATAAGGCGCAGGATCACGTACGACAATGTTTGCCAGCAGTTGTAATGTAACGTAACCTAACTGCTAAAGTGTAACCTAAAGGAAACCCATGACTCGGATTTTGAGCATATAAGGCGCAGGCTGATTTTTTCAAGAGGGGGAAGCGCGCCTTATATACCGGAAAATACGGTATTTTTTTAACGATTATTATGATTAATGTTATTAAATATTATTATACATGTTCTTCAAAGGGAAATGTGCGTTCATGTCAGTGAAGGGCTCTTCAGCTAAGGAATTGGAGCTACTCTCCCTTTCCTTGGATCAAATCCGATTATTTTCCATTCCCTAAGCCCTGTATGATCCCTGTGGGTTTAATGCTTCGCCATGACTGTAATAATAATTATTCTTCCAGATATTTAAAACTGTTTAAAAGTTTAGTGAAACTGAAATTTACACCAAAATTAGCATAATTTTACCTGCATAAAATAATTTAAAAGTAATTAGCAAGGACAATTACTGGAGTTACAGGTGTGAAGCAGCGCCACTATTCTGCTAATTAGCGCCACTACTCTAGCGCCACTATTCTGCTAATTAGCGCCACTACTCTAATTAGCGCCACCATTCTGCTAATTAGCGCCACTTGGCATTCTGAAGTGGAAATTGCCACTCCTTTCTTCACCTCTCAATTGATCACTTTGTGCCACTTAAACCCTCTTCAAGGGGGCTCTTGATCCAAGGCAGTGGGTCGAATCTGAAAGCCTTCACTTACTCCCAGGTGCTATTTGACTCCCTCCCTACGGGTTTAGCGCACCCCGGAAATGTAATGTACCACTTCAACTCCACTTGCTACTGTACATATCGGTTAATTTATAGCCGGAGAAAGGAAAATCTTTAGACCAGCAATTAATGTATTTGTTAATATTTAGTTATTGAGGTATTGGAGAAGACTATTGGGAGGGGATAATATATCTCTATGAAAGGGGTGATATAGCTGTATATAGGGGGATAATATATCTATGAAAGGGGTGATATAGCTGTATATAGGGGGATAATATATCTCTATGAAAGGGGGGTGATATAGCGGGTATATAGGGGTTTAATTTTCTATGAAAGGGGTGATATAGCTGTATATAGGGGGATAATATATCTCTATGAAAGGGGGTGATATAGCTGTATATAGGGGATAATATATCTATGAAGGGGGTGATTTAGCTGTATAAAGGGGGTAATATATCTCTTTGAAAGGGGGTGATATAGCTGTATATAGGGGGATAATATATATCTATGAAAGGGGGTGATATAGCTGTATATAGGGGGATAATATATCTCTATGAAAGGGGGTGATATAGCTGTATATGGGGGGATAATATACTCTATGAAAGGGGGTGTATAGCTGTATATAGGGGGATATTATAGCTATATGGAAGGGGGTGAAATAGCTGTATATGGGGGGATAATATATCTATATGGAAGGGGTGATATAGCTGTAATAGGGGGATAATATATCTATATGGAAGGGGTGATATAGCTGTATATGGGGGAAAAATATATATATATTATAATATAATTATATATTAATATATATATATATATATATATAATATATATATATATATATATTTTATATATGGAAGGGGTGATATAGCTGTATATGGGGGGATAATATATACTATTGAAGGGGGTGATATAGCTGTATATAGGGGGATAATATATCTATATGGAAGGGGTGATATAGCGTATATGGGGGGATAATATATATCTTTGAAAGGGGGTGATATAGCTGTATATAGGGGGATAATATATCTATATGGAAGGGGTGATATAGCTGTATATAGGGGGATAATATATCTATATGGAAGGGGTGATATAGCTGTATATAGTGGGATAATATAGCTATATGGAAGGGGGTAATATAGCTATATGGAAGGGGGGTAATATAGCTATATGGAAGGGGGGTAATATAGCTATATGGAAGAGGATAATATAGCTATATGGAGGGGGATAATATAGCTGTATGGAGGGGGATAATATAGCTATAGGGAAAAGGGGAAATATAGCTATAGGGAAAAGGGGTAATGTAGCTATATGGAAGGGGATAATATAGCTATATGGAGTGGAATAATATAGCTATATGGAAGTGGATAATATAGCTATATGAAAGGGGATAATATAGCTATATGAAAGGGGATATAGCTATATGAAAGGGGATAATATAGCTATATGGAAGGGGATAATATAGCTATATGGAAGGGGATAATAAAGCTATAGGGAAAGGGGGTTTTAATATAGCTATATGGAAGGGGGTAATATATCTATATGGAAGGGGGTAATATATCTATATGGAAGGGGGTAATATAGCTATATAGAAGGGGATAATGTAGCTATATGGAAGGGGGTAATATAGCTGTATAGAGGGGGATAATATAGCCATAAGGAGTTTTTTCAGTGAGTTAGTACAAAACAGTGAGAGATGGGTAATATAACCTTGCATTAGCTACTTATAAATATCATCCTCGCATATATTTGCAGCTCAAGTGTTGGGGCAACATCACTCGCTGATCCTTTATAATATAGCAAAAAAGTGTCACTAGGTCATTATAATATATAACGAGTGCCACTGCGCCTTTATAATATAACTAGTGCCACTGCGCCTTTATAATATAATTAGTGCCACTGCGCCTTTATAATATAATAACGAGTGCCACTGCGCCTTTATAATATAATAACGGGTGAAAATGCGCTAGTATTTGTATTTTTAATTTTACAGTTGAAGTGGCTGCTTTGTGCTCCCCATATATAGTTATCAGTCACCATCACCACCACTGTCATCACCTATACTGTCATGTCATTAGCTACACTGTCATGCCATTACCTATACTGTCATCACCTACACTATCATGGAATCACGTGTACTATGTCATCATGTACACTATCAAGTCATCACTTGTATGTCACCACTATCATGTCACCACCTACACTGTCACAACTACCTGAGCTGTGTCTTACACTGAACGACAATCCTGTGGTTTTCCTGTTAACGTTTAAGTGTTGCCAGAGACACGATCATTGTTGCTTGTTCTTCCTTCTCTCCTTCCTGCTGCGTCTTCATGCTCTTGTGTGTAGCCCTGCGCTACTAACTTGATATTTTATTCAGGTATACCCAAGTACAGTTACATAGATTATCATACATAGCAACATTTGTGTAGAGAATCTAGCGTTCACATGTACATATTCTAATGCGCACACACCCTGACATGCACACATTATAATGTGCATGCACATTCTAACGTATGAACTCTAACACACACACACACGGGGCCAGGAGCTCAGACTCGACCCCCGCAACCTCAACTAGGTGAGTACACACACACACACACACACACACACACACACGGGGCCAGGAGCTCGGACTCGACCCCCGCAACCTCAACTAGGTGAGTACACACACGCGCGCGCGCGCACACACACACACACACACAACACCCACACACACACACACACACACACACACACACACACCAACAGAGCAATGGTGGACACACTTGCTGAGGTGGCAAGAAGAGCTCACTCCAGCAGAGCAAAGTTGTTGGTTATGGAGGATTTCAACCACAGAGAGATTGACTGGGAAAACCTGGAGCCACATGGGGGTCCCGAAACATGGAGAGCCAGGATGTTGGACGTGGTGCTGGAAAACCTCATGCACCAACATGTTAAAGGGCACTACCAGAGTGAGAGGGGAGGATGAACCAGCAAGATTGGACCTTGTGTTCACCCTGGGCAGCTCAGACATTGAGGACATCAAGTATGAGAGTCCCCTAGGAGCTAGCGACCACGTGGTACGGTGCTTTGAATACATAGTAGAGCTGCAAGTGGAGAGAATAACAGGAGTTGAATGGGAAAAGCCTGACTATAAAAGAGGGGACTACATAGGGGTGAAGAACTTCCTGCGGGAGGTCCAGTGGGACAGAGAACTGGCAGGAAAGCCAGTAAATGAAATGATGGAATATGTAACAACAAAATGCAAGGAGGCAGTGGAAAGGTTTATTCCCAAGGGCAACAGTAACAACGGGAAGACCAGAACGAGCCCCTGGTTTACCCGACGGTGTAAGGAGGCAAAAACAAAGTGCAGTAGAGAATGGAAAAAGTACAGAAGGCAGAGAACACACGAAAATAGGGAGATCAGTCGCAAAGCCAGGAATGAGTACGCACAGGAGGTATGTGAGGAGCTGAACAGGAGATTTAAGGAAGTTTTTACAGTAGAGACAGGAAGGGCTGTTGGAAGACAGCACAGAAGGGAACATCAAGAGGGAATATACCAACAAGTGTTGGATGACATACGAACAACTGAGGAGGAGGTGAAGAAGCTCTTAAGTGACCTTGACACCTCAAAGGCGATGGGACCGGACAACATCTCCCCATGGGTCCTTAGAGAAGGAGCAGAGATGCTGTGCGTGCCTCTAACCACAATCTTCAACACATCCCTTGAAACTGGGCAACTACCTGAGAAATGGAAGACAGCTAATGTAGTCCCCCTATTTAAGAAAAGGGAAAAAGAAGCGAGGGACTAAACTACAGACCTGTGTCTCTGACATGTATTGTGTGCAAAATCATGGAGAAATATCAGGGAGAGTGGTTTTAACACCTGGAAAGGAACAAGATTATAAATGAAAAAACCCGCATGGGTTCATGGAAGGCAATCTTGTATCACAAACCTCCTGGAGTTTTATGACAAGGTAACAGAAGTAAGACACGAGAGAGAGGGGGGGGTAGATTTCGTTTTCCTAGACTGCAGGAAGGCCTTTGACACAGTTCCCCCCAAGAGATTAGTGCAGAAGCTGGAGGATCAGGGGGCATGTAAAAAAGGGGGGGCACTGCAATGGATAAGGGGAATACCTGACAGGGAGGCAGCAACGAGTCATGGTACGTGAAGAGGTATCACAGTGGGCGCCTGTTACGAGCGGGGTCCCACAGGGGTCAGTTCTAGGACCAGTGCTATTTTGATATATGTGAACGACATGATGGAAGGAATAGACTCTGAAGTGTCCCTGTTCGCAGATGACGTGAAGTTGATGAGAAGAATTAAATCGGACGAGGGATGAGGCAGGACTGCAAAGAGACCTGGACAGGCTGGACATGTGGTCCAGTAACTGGCTTCTCGAATCAATCCAGCCAAATGCAAAGTCATGAAGATTGGGGAGGGGCAAAGAAAACCGCAGACAGAGTATAGGCTAGGTGGACAAAGACTACAGACCTCACTCAGGGAGAAAGACCTTGGGGTGACCATAACACCGAGCACATCACCGGAGGCACACATCAACCAAATAACCGCTGCAGCATACGGGCGCCTGACAAACCTGAGAATAGCGTTCCGATACCTTAATAAGGAATCGTTCAAGACACTGTACACTGTGTATGTTAGGCCCATACCGAAGTATGCAGCACCAGTCT